ATGTGCCAGCTCATCATGTTTGAAATATGTCGAATCAAAAAGTTAGAAAACTCCTACATCCCACTAGGCTATTCACCATTATACCACAGCTCTAACATTTCCTTTCTTTTTCAACATTTTACATTGCTGTTTTTATATTTTTATTTCCATCTCTCCCTTTACTTGAAAGCTCACCTCTCAGCATTCTGATATGAACTGTAAAGTTTCTTCCCCTCAGTAGTAAAATAAACAGTGGCTGTTCTTAATAGCCTGGAAACATCGCAACACATTTAAGTATTCTGGGTTTATAGATATTTTGCTTTAGTAACACTTCGACCTGTCAACCGTTAAATGCTTACAGTTTGAAAGTTTTGAAAATCTCCCATGCAGATGTTTGCCTCTCCACTCAACACCCTTTCGTATCATGTCAACATCTCTTAGCGATTCAGTGAGCCGTTGCCAAGGTACCTTGCACCAGAGATGTTTGTTTATTTGCTCGTTTTACTCTGAACCCATTATTTAGCTTGTTGAGAATAAGTGTACAGACAGACACACACACATGCTCATATAGACACACTCAGACACACCTTTTCTCCAAGGGGGCTTTATAGTGACACTTCAAGGTCTTCAGGTTTTAACAGCATCTTTCTAAAAGTTTTGACAACTTTAAGCATGATTTTAAACAGTAATACTATAAGCATCGGCATTCGCCATTTAAATTCTGGAACTGAATTGAAATTTAAAAAGGGTTCTTGATACAATTCCTGATTTTAAATTGAATTTGAAGTGAGATAGTAAACAGGATGTGGAATTGCAATTCCAATTTGAATGTACGTGAGTAGAAATTGAAGTTCAAAGAAATTCATAATGAATAAACCGTCATAAATTTGTTTTTCCAAGACAAACTTTGCATGTTTACTTAGTCTTTTTTTATGTTTAAAAAGCTTTGAAGACTGAATATTTAAATAGATACATTTCAGAAGCAGTCATTTTATGCCTTGTATTCTTAAATGCAAAAAGCATCAAAACTTTTAAAATACTGCTCATAATGAGTTTCCTTTTTAGTTTAATGTCCTACAGCAGTATCACTGTTAGTGATAACATGTTTTCATAATGGGCCCTAGTAGTACTATAGTAGTTCAGTCCTTTACATACTTGATGAATGCATAAGCGACATAATGAAAGGCTTGGCCATTGAGTCATTATATGAAGTCCACAAAGCATGCCATTGCATTGCAATAACTGAAGAACGTTCTATTGTTAAATGTATATGTATTCAAAGGACTTAGATAAAGATAACTTGTATGGAATGGAAGCAACTTCACTTGACTCTAATTGGATGAAGCCCTTTAAAAGCCAAATAAATCATATTTCAATGATCCTCATGGCACTAAGTGTTGATAAGAGCACTGCCCTTTGAAAATATGCAAGCTGTAGTTCTGTATGCCTATTGCACTTAATAATGGAGCATCAGTGTGAGAGAATCTAAGTTGAGTACCCAGACTGCAAGCAATATAACTGGAAATAACTGGAAAGTTAATGAGAGTATATGAAAGATGACTTGAGGCTTTTCCATAAAAAAATGTCATTGCAATTGCGCTAACCTGGCAATACCAGTGAGAGTACAACACAGTAGCCCTGTCTAGTGCAGATACATTACTGTTTCCTGTATTTTGAAATAACTTTTTACTTCTCAGACGATTGGAATTGGAAGTAGTTGTGTGCAATTATTGAATCATTCAACTCACTTCAAATGCAGTCAGAACCATGATCAAACATCAGCTAAATTGGAGCTGGCAAACACCAATACCAAAGCATAATATCTTTATATAGGGACATGGGTGCCATTGTGTCATTCTTTTTCATTTTGTTTTCGAGAGGCATCTGCTTTATAGCACACTGAAGAGCTTTTGATGTAGCCTGGGATCTTTTCTGTCTTAACTCAAACCTGGGAATTAATTGCTTGTACGTAATGGCAGACATGTCACGCCGTTAGCCTTGGCATCCATCACTGAACCACACCACAAAACCTCTCTATTCACGAAAACGACAGGACATCAAGCGTATGCATGAGTCTGATTCACAAAACTGCTCTGTTCCTACCAAAACCAACTGTATTCGTCTAACTCCAATGCTTTTGTCTACTTTCCAAAACTATGATTTCAATCTCTTTTTTTTCTGCTACAATTTAAATGAACTGTCGCCAAGACAATAAAAAGATTGCAAAAGAAAAAGAAAAAAGTAAACATTTGTCTAAGCAGGTAATAGTTAAGTTAAAACTCAGAAAGCAAGGAGCTAAAAAGCTTATTATTACTATATACATACTTATTACATGCTTGTTTTTTTTGTATTTAGATTTGGCATTGTATTTGCATATTTTGGTTTGGTTTGTTTGTTTTTTTTTTGTTTTCCATGCTATTCTCACTAGTCTGCTTGACTAACAATTAACTGTTCTATATTTATTTATATAGGTCTTTCAGTGTATAAAAATAGTTTTACATAAGGCATATACTCATGCTTCATGCCTTGAGAAAATCAATCTATATATTTTGAACAGCCCCTTTGACCCCAATTTTTCTATGCCTTTCTGAGTCTGTCTACAGACACATACAAACAATATACTAAAAACTACAGTTTTTGTTTCAAACATTTCCTCAAGGAAAATGAAAACATTTAAGGTTCCTCCATGCATGGGGAATAAACTATATTATTTTGACCACTAACACTGCTGGGTAAACATGTGTGGCTCGATTCCAGATCCCTTTTTGGAAAGAAAGTTGCTAAAACTAGTGACCTTGCACCTGTTCCCACATGGCAGACAGGCTTAAGTTACATTTCCACAAACCTGCAGGCCAAGCAGACTGACATAATGGAATTTAAAAGAATCAACAGAGATTTGAAGAGCTCACATAGGTTGCACCATAGCCTGCAGACACGGTTGGAATACAAACACACAGTTCCTCACCTCACATTGAAATATGGCTCATTTCATCTCACTGCTTTCCACATCTGTCATGACTTTAGTTTTTCTCTTGACATGCACAGGGCCCATTGCAATGGATTTCCTTGCCTGTAAAGCATGTGCGTACTACAATGTCAATGGTGTGACCCTAAAGACAGATTCCAGTGAAAATTACATATAATCACTTTCTGTCTTGCCAAACAATCTTGTCATTCATCATCTGTGTTGTTAACAAGGTTCGAAAGACTGCGCCGGTCTAATCCAGGAGTGCTTGAGTAATAATATGAGCAAATCAGAGGATAAAAACCCAATAAGAAGATGTGAAATAGCAAAAATATGTGTCCTTTTGCTTAGCTGGTTGAATAAGCTTGAAGTGAGGAACTCTAAAGGTGCCTAATTAAGCCTCTCTGTTTTCGTCACCCACTCTACTCTAAAAAGAGAATAATAGTTAAAATGTGTCACAATTGGCAACAGTATCTGTTTCTGCCATTAAAAATACATTAGTAAAACAGAATGAAGGACAGTTATGAAATCTTGGCCTCACAGCTTCTGTCTACTTTCTTTATGCAGTGAATGACGCTTGCGTATTAAATTGAGCTTATACGTGCTTCATACGCTTGCTTACTTCTGTAAAACACAAAATATTTTTTTTAGCTATCAGGGACTGACAGTTTTAGTTAACATTCACTTTCAATTCATCTTTTTTTCCATGAAAAATCAATTAAAGTGACTGAGCCTTTCATCCTGTCAAACATCTAACCAGATAGCCAATCGTGAGAAAATGTAACAATTTTACAAGGTGATGATTTCATATGAATTCATACGATATGATTCATATGGAAACGTATGATTTAAAAAAAATCAGAAGGTTTACACTTAAACCTAATAGTCATATTCTACAAAATTGTATGAAAGAGATCATACAAATTGATACAAATTAGATACCAATTTGCCAAAACAAAACATAATTACAAATTTCCATGAGTGTGTTGGTAAATTACGTCAGAATTTATTTTTGGGTGAACTATCCCTTTAAGGCCATTTTGATAATGGAGATGTTTTGTGAATGCAAAATTGCAACGTCTCAGTTGACATTGGAAGATTGTTTATGAGAGTGCAGTATTGGGTAGCCAATGACCTAAAGATGCTTTAGAGAGAGAGAGAGAGAGAGAGAGAGCAGGCTGTAACATGAAATGCTTGCACTGAGCTGTTATGTTATAGCTCTTAATGTATAATTAAATTGTTCTCTGCTCTCACTTTCTCTTAAGGGAGATCATGACTAGACATAACAGGAGCAGTGTTACATTGTATGAGTATGATTCAGTTTGTCTGTATATATGCTTGTGAAGAATCTTGCAAAATAACTTTGCACTTTCATAACAGCAGGGTTAAATTTTACCACACACACACTACAAAATAAATTAATCATGAATGTATCTCGTTTGTTTGCTACAGCTATACACATTCATGTGCTAAAAAAATGCACTCACACTCTCTTTTTTTACATGCCTGCGTTTTTTCTTACTGTGTTTATCTAAGTTACACCATCATTTTGAGTCTGTTTGTGTTACAAATTACTTTATTGTCCTGAAACAGCACTTAGAGAGTTGTAAGGAGCAGTCCAGAGGGGTTTGCTTGTGTTCACTGCATGGTCTTAAGCTGCTGGAGACTGGAGAGCAAAGACTGAAGGTTTTACTGTGGTGACAAAGTAACTTTATTACTCCCTATTAGTGTACAGCATGGAGGCTTATGGAGATGTAAAAGGGCAGATCGATGTGGTGCGAGGTAAAGTGAATGACCCACAATGAGTTTAATAAATCTGAATGTCTTTGAGGGACGTTTCACCATCCTGAGCCATTAACTTATGTGCCTAAACACCAGTGACTTGAAAGCTAAGGATTATATGCATATATAGATTATTTTCTCTCTCTCCTCCTGTCCTTTGCATTGTGGGGCTCTTGAGCACAGCACTGCGCCATGCTGTATCTGTATTTATAGGCACATACATGAGGTTCATAACGTTCTTTATAGCTTAATATAAAAACCCATTTCACAACAGATGTCTGTGGGCATAATTACTATACCACAGGCTTCTAGAAAGACGTGTGGATTCGTGTCATTTGCTCAATGCCTCTCAGGATATTTAATTCTTGTACAAACAGCACCAAGTAATTATGACTTCATATACCAATTTATGCACCATTGTTTGTGTCATATTTTCCAGGGACTTATGGGAGCCTGATACTATGTGTCACTAGGTTATTCCATGGGGAATTAATGCAATGAAAAGGGCCGATCTGTCAAAACGGTTTCACACCAGTATTAGCTGAAGCTACAAAACAGCAGTGAGCTTACATAGTATTCCTGCAGCAGTGCTTGTCAGCATACAGAGGGCAGTGATTCCTACAAACTATAACAGGTGCAGCTAATGTTCTATATTTAATGTTTTCTTTTCTTTTCTTTTATTTTATGGACTAGTCTCATATTTCATTTGTTTATATGAATAAATATGATTGATTATGAAATGAAATAAATGTATACATGTTGGTGTATTCTTGCATACATTATTTTCAGCTAAAAGAGCCATTTCTACCTGATCTGACCCTTAAAAGGGCTTTAGATTTTTTTTTAAATACCACATGAAAGACATTTTTAAAGATTACCTACTATTTTATTTTATTTCAATATACATTATGGAAGTATAAAATAAAAATTCTTATGTTCTAGAACTATTTTGTAGATAACTTCAACCTGTCATGGCAACATGGGGGTAGTTGCAATCAGGGTTTGAATGTGACATATCACCAAGTCATTGTTTTCCTGTTCATTCCAGAAGATGTGCTTCTCTTGATTGCTTCCCTGCATCTTTTTTGTCCGTTTCTCATTTTTGAAACTTGCTGCACTGATTAAAGAGCAAATGTGCTATGGCTTGCTGAGATCACAGATTCCAGCTCTAGGTTTGATATTCTCCATGCTCTTTCTCTCTTCTTTTCCCTTCCACTTCAATTCCTGTTTCCTTCATGTCTGTTACACCATGTCTGACAAGATTCTGGCGGCAAGCAATTTGTTTGTCCACACTAAAAGACAAAATGTGGTACAACACAATAAAATCACAGATAATCAGAATGGTTTGGATGAATACCAAACAAGTAGAAAATGTTGTGTCGGGTATCCTGGCTCTGGCTGGTTAAAGTAAAAACTCAGATTTACATGGATGAAATAGTTTTTCTCACTTGTCACCTTATGGTGCTGCTCAAGTTCAGGACATGGTGTTGTTTTCTTTTCCAAACCAGAGCTCTCCTATTGCTATCTTTAATTAAACAATTTAGTTATGTTTCTCCAATTGAATTGGACAAGCAGTGTCCCATGATGTTTGAGATTTATTATAACAACACTGGGACTTTTCACTGTTTGTATCAATATGCTTGTCTGTTTTTTTGTTTGTTTTTTTAATATTGAAGTGTTGGGGTTTCTCCTACCAGTTAGTGTGTAGAGAGTGGAAAATAGAAAACCCGGAGTGGAGCTGGAGTGGCGTTATTGCGATAATTGCTGTTATGCCATTCACACTCTGTTTCTGTGCTTGCGTTGCTTGGCGAAATTTGTCAGTTTGGCTTAGAGTAGAATTTGACATTTAGTTTTTCAGAATGCCTTCAGTTCTAACAGATATAAGGAGAGAAGAGGCAGTTACCAACGATTCGATTTAAGGTCGTGTTTTTTGTTTGTTTTTTCACAGGTGAAACACACTTCCTTGACAGAGGATGCAAATAAGGGTTTCAGTTGTTTAGAAACCTGATGGCATTGTCATGTTGTATAGAACATGTGTGCTTTGTTTGCAGATGTGTTTGGTTTTTTTTCAAGCCTGAAAGGTGCAGCGAGCTGTAGGAAAGTTCTCCCACAACTTCCTTTAAACCAGATGTGCAGAATGAAGCTCCTGAAGTCTCATCTTTTAACACTATAGAACTACCGGAATTCTATAACTACTAGAATGGCCATAGCGGTCATTCTGACCGTTCATAGACTGAACTGAATGCCATTTTTGTCATATCATATATTTACATTCGAAGCTTCTTTTGAGTTTTTACAATGAAGCTTTGAATGTCTGTTTTCATATTTCATATTCACCCTAAAAAAAATACGATCTTTTTTGTAATATTTAATTGTGTAAGAGCTAAGTAGACCTCTCCCGAATGTGCACGCCTTGCTTTGTGTCCGGCAAGCGGGAGAAAAATAGTTTTTCACCGCAGTGAAAATGTTGTATTTGAAAGTCTAAATGCCAACAAATATGAACTGAGGCAGAATATTTCTGTAGATAAAACATGTTGTGAATTTTGAAAATGATTACATAGGCTACCATCTTTTTTCAATAGATTTTTACTTGTGTACTTTACAACGCTCTGGAGTTATTGGAAATGTTTGGATTAGAGGAATTGGAAACAATTCTATGCAGCCACCACTGGAATCATGATCCATGAATAAATGGATCTGTTATGATAGTATAGGTAATAATAAGCATCGTCACTGTCGCTAAAGATAAAAGCCTAATTAGTTTGTTTTATTTCACAATATCAGTTTTGTCGAGGCTAAAATTATCCTATATGCATTAGCTATAGCATTACACTAGCATAAAAATAATAATAGCCATTATTATTATTATTATTATTATTATTATTATTATGGCTATTTTGTCATAACATTGAAGTAGGCTATTATTGATAACAGCCAGTCTTCCAGCCTAACATAGCCTACCTGGAACTGTGGCAGATTGAATGACAGCAGTTGTTGTATTGGAGGTGTCCACCTGGCTTTTTATGAACAGGAATTTTAGCTTAGCAATAGAATATAAAAACAACTAGTACAAAAGTTGCTAGGCAACAGTGACCTGCATTCTTCAACAGCGGGGAAAAAAGTTGCAAAAGCAGAAATTATAAGCCTTCTGTAATGCGTATGTTCAATTTGACTGCTTTGGCCATTCAAGGTAGAAATATTTAGAACTCTTTTGTGTTTTGTAATTTTAATAAAATAACAATGTTATAATAAAATATACAGACATTTAGGAAAAGTCAGGGTTTTATAGTTATATGTGTTTTATTTCAACAAAGCTATTACATTTTAAACTAAAAACGATCAAAATAACTGCCTTGGTAGTTCTAGTGTTAAATTATTGCAGAGATCCTGAAAATCGCTGTTCAAGGTACAATAGCTCAAGTCAGTTTCCTGGCAACTGCTGTCATAGCTTTGCTACCTATACGAACATTGAGTAGAAAGTAGTTTTTTTTATTTTTTTATTTTTTATTAAACTTTAGTAGACATCAGAAACTCAGTAATGAGTAAAGCCCTTGTGCTTTATACATGAGTGCTGCCCTTCTCTTAAAATTGAGATTATAAATATTAAAATTAATACAAATTGGAATACTGGGCATGATTAAAAAATACTTAATTAGAGATAAAGTTATGATATCCATTAGTATATGTACAGTAGTCATTGGTATAAGTACAGTTAGGGTGATAAGTTATATGAATGTATGATTATTGCAACCAATATGAAAATAAAATTGAGGTTATTTACATTATTTATTAATGCTCATTTCTGGTCTTACAGTAAACAATTCATTGGGCTGTGGTATTTTAAATCGGAAAGAAACAAATATTTTTAATGTATAATTGAAATATATGTATATTGGATGTTGTTAACCAGTACCTAAATAGCTTATTTATGTTCGGTTTGGCTCCATTCTATTATTAGATGCCCAGTTTTCAGCATCAGTTCCCAATGGAATAAAATGAATTCCTACATTTTCCTACAGTTTCTGTTTCTCTCAGAAGATCATCACATTCATGTGCGTAAATAGATTTATGTTGACTTTAAGCATTTACCGTATGTAGCCGTCTTGAACTCAATAACTACTTGTTAACTTGAATGGGTTCCACCCCACCAAAGGCATATAAATTAACACATGCATAATGACTAAGCCCTGTGTTTGTGTGAATTTATGTGTATTTGTGCATAACCACATGTGCATTTGAGCACACTTAAAATTGTACTCTGATATTCTGGACGAAAGAATAAGAGAACTCAAGGTTAGAGAGAGTAATTAGAGGGGTTTTTTTCTACTGGAGGATGCATTAAGCCTAAGGGATGGAAAGTGATTATGTGGCCATAAATGAACCTTGTAATGCAGCTCAAAGATACTTGAATTATTGCTAACCTTGCTGGTAAAAACCTGGAAAAGTTTGAAAAAACAAATCTAACCACTGGACCAAAAGGAAAGCGAGAGGGAAAATGTGTTTGTGACAACTGTCCAATATTGTCTCCTCACCCCTGGCTCTGTGCTGTCATCTGCTCACTGACTACCAAATTACTTCATCCCTAATCCATTCGGTTATTGGTTTCATTTTAGAGTCTAGTTAATTTTGACTTGCAATGCCCTTAATAAAACTGTGGCCCCTAAGATCCCCATCTCAGTAAATAAGACATTGATCGGTCGGTAAGGGTTTGCTGCCTAAATAAATATGGCTAATGAATAAATGATGTGAGGAAATTGGATGAGAATGATGAAGGACGTTCAGAAAAAGTGCTTGTTATTGGTATTTTTTAAATAGGGTGGCCAAATATAGACTATTTTGTCTGTCTCAAGTCTTTTTCCAGTAGGCAATGGATATATAATGGATATATATAATCTGGAATTTTAAATATTTTCACTACTTTGGTTTGAGCTGGTGTTTCTGTTTTTTTTTCTGTAATCAAAATATATATATATATATATAAAAACATATTTTATATTCATATTGTTGATGATAATTTTATTTTTGATAATTGATATGATTGATAGAAATATACATACATATACATATGTAGCCTACTGCATAACAGGAATGACCCTTCAGATCGATGAAGATTCTCAGTCATTCAGGTCATTGTAGACTACTAGCCGTATTGTTTTAGAAAATGTATCCGAATGCTCCAGAATAAATTCCTTAAGATATTCTTATGCAGAAAATGAAAAAGAGAAGGAAAGAGAGGGCAGGTTGCTGCTCTGTCTGTCTTACTCAGAGTGTGGAGGGAATTAAAGGCGATTATGTGACTGTAATTGAATCCCTCTGATATGCAGCGTAGCCATTTTAGCTGCAGCCGTGCGATCGATATGCAAGGCTAATTTAATATTAATTTAATCCCCACCCCACCTTTCGTGAGAGCTTTATCTATATATACAGTTACACTCCAGTTTTTCTCTTCCTCTTTTCCCTCACACTTGCACCATCACTGTTTCTCCCTTAGGCTAAGGCAAACACAAATGTTTTCACTCTCGTGTTAATTTAGTGTTATTTAAAAAAATATATATATAAAAATATGTTTTAAAAAAAGATAAAAATGCGTTTTTGCAGGGGGGGTTTCTATAAAAGTTACAAATGTTTTTAAAGTCTACCTGTACAGGGGTCTCAAGACAATGCTGAACAAGTTTTTAGGACATCTAACAATGCAACACTCACAAAATGGATTCTTGTGGACTGCAGGCCTGTGACAAACTAAACAAACAATATATTGCCATCTACAGCCTCATGTAATGTCTAAATGCAGTGTTTTTGTTTGCAATAATATATCGAATGTCTTTGACTTCAATCGTGATTTGTTTGTTCATTTGCTGTTTCATCTGTTCCTTTCCTGTTTGTCTCCTTCACTCTGCACCACTCTGTACCACTCTGTTTTCTTTCTCCTGCTCTCCTTCTCTTCTCCATCTCCACACCTCCTCCTGTTGTCGGCTAGCGGTACTGCTCTGGGATTACATCCACGTGAGAAAGGACTTCCTCCTGTTTTGTCTTGGCTATTATTCTAATTGCACCACCAAAAGGGACAGGGCCCTCTACGGTCTCAAAGGGAATGAAAGGTGTCTGAGAACCTTTCCATTGGGTTGAAGCAGAGCACATCAGTTTCACACAGCGGTCATTTGAAAGCCCCTTAGAGAAGTCAAAGGCCTCACTGTCCGTCCTTGAAATTAAAATCAAGCGAAGAAAACCAAGCTTCAATGTCACAAACTTTTTCCCATAGTGTCACTCTCATCAGATGTGAGCTAAACCGCTATGGCCATACCAGGGCGAAGGGTGTCAAATAAATATTTTATGATCCTGGCTCTTTCTGCAGCCATTATAGTATTGATCTAAGTAGTTTATCAAGTGGACTTTAAACGGCTCTCTCAGTTGGGAATTCGTCTGAAACGACAATGCGTTCTTCAGTCTCAGATGAAAGGTATGTAAGATGGTTTGTTTCCCCTACAAAGAGCTGTAATAGATCACTTTTCAAAAACACAATGAAATGGAGAATGACCTCAGTCTGCTGCCATGCCCTCTGTATGTAAGTGCCAACTTTGCATTTTGAAGTGTTTTCTCACTCACTCTTTTCAGTCGTTTTTGGAGTTTCTTGCAGCTCACCCTTTCATACACTGTTGCCATGTTCTTGAACTTGCCCTGACCTCAAGATAGTCTCAGTCTCTCTCAGGGAAATAGAGTTGACTTCTGTACGTTGGACTAGTTACAGTTTTCACTGAAGGTCAGTGAATTAATTATCAAGTAAAAGAGCATATGACACTCACTGTGAACTCTCCGCATTCACATTTTTAGGGTTAATAATGTTCTTGTGGCTTGCTGTCATTACAACTGTGCCTCCAGATTGATGAAGTGTGAGCGCCATGGACAATAAACTTTTAAATTTAAAGGGAATTTGGCCAACCAAACAGTGAAATCACTATTGTGAACAATAATGCATCTATGCTGATGTCATTACTTATAGGTCTGTTAACATGAAGTGAGTGCCTAAAGCCCCTCTATACCAGTCAAGTCAAATGTATTTGTAAAGTGATTTTCACAACATACTGTAGAAACTCATACTGTTATGTCTATATAATGATTTAATGGTTTAACATTTCTGCCCTACAAAGGCAAAAGACCTTAACTCGCTAGTGTGAAACAGAAAAATTACTTTCAAGTTTTTTATTTGTCCAGCCAAATTAATCATAGGTAGGACACTGGAAATTTGGCAATTAGATGTTTTAGTAATGGAAATTATCTACATAAGCAGGTCTCAAAAAATTGTCAACACATTGACAACAGATCATGAAGAAATGTATTTTATTTGTCTGTATGTTTGTTTGATTATACAACTCTGCATAGTTGGATAAATTAACTTTCACCCAGGCAGTCATCCATTTCTATTTATCAATTAACTACTTTAGTTGAACTTGACTAAACTTTAAAGTTGCAAAGTGTTCCTTTAGCTCGACATGTTAACTTGCTGTATCATCATGTTCCGTATTAATTTACAACAGTATATGACGTAGTAAATTGCAAGCTTTTGTGGTTCATGAGGAAAACATGAGGAATTGCACAGTTCAGGTGACTCTCAGAGGAATTCATCTAGCCGACCTTATTGTATAGAGGCCGTTTTTAAAGCTGATTTTACTTTTGACATCAGCATTTTTATTTTTGATGCAATTGCAGCTTCTAAGTCTACTGTTTTGTATTTCAATGCAGACAGACACAACTACAGATGTTTTCATCTTTATTCAAATTGCATTCTTATTCTAGTGTTCTATAAGGATGCTTGTTTGTGTTGTATATTTGTGGTTTTTTAACTATCTGATCAATTTTGAGTGGAAGTATTTTTACTGTAATATAATAGTAATTTTACAGTAAAATAATTTATATAATTAAATTAATGTTTGGCTGTAGGTGTGTGTACATTCACTGCTTCACAATGGCTGCAGATGTGGCTCATCTAATCAGATTTTAGACTTTTAGTAATATTAATGCATCTTTCCTCTCAAACACTATGGCAGAATTAGACATTTAGCTTAATACTTAATTTAAAAAAGTCTCACGCTGAGTCAAATAAGACTGCATAAAATGTTTTAATTATTCAGTGTTGAAAGAGACATTGTGCTATAAAAATAATGAAGTCTTCACTAATACAGCCCTCATAAAGCACTGATACAGATATGGGCTCTTTTGCTTTGCAGGCCAGAAATAAACTTATGTGAACTGATTTATATGCAGAACAAATATGAGAGAGAAGAGAACAGGGGTGATAGTGGAGGAGTTCTTCACATGACACTAATATGACTTTGCCTTACGGACACATCTTCTTTACTGACATTTAGAAATGAAAATAGAAATTGTCTGCTGTCTCTCTTTCTAAATGCTCTACAGTGTGCTTCTCTGTCCCTCTTTTTGTCCCTGTGTTGTCTGGTGGGGGTGGCCTGCTATAAAGTTGCATCACACTCAGCCGTTAACATAAATCTTAAAATCTTCAAGATTTAAACCTGAGAATCCTATTATTGTTTCCCCTTCCCCACCCAATCACAGACAGATATGCTGACACCAGAGCATCAAATTTTTTCTTAATATGAGCCTCTCCCACAATATCAGATTTTAGGGACATATTCCACTTCCCTCTGGGGTGATAGCCAGCTCAAAGTTTCTGTTTTGCTCCCCTGCCACTTTATCATTGCTGGAGATTATATTTGATAGAAATTAAAATCTTGGGAAGAAATAGTGTCAGAAAACAGGAAATGAATCTGGAAGAATTATGGTTGTATTCATGTCTCTGTTAAATCGAAACAGTAAAACAGTGTTAAAATGAAATAAAAATCTAAATGCAGAAATCCAAAATTTAGGCCAAATACAATGGGTATAGAAAATAATCCCCTTTAAAATAATCACATTTTGTTTTGTACCCTGAAATGAAGACGAACACCGTTTTTTTTTTTTTGTCCAGCTGTATTTTATGCAACTTATAGCATCCAAGTGAAAGATATAACACACACACAAAAAAGTTGATAAAAGGATCACCCCCTCCTAAAAATGACTTGTAAACTCAATCAGGTGTAGCTAATCACCTTCTCAATGGCACACAAAGCCATTTGAGTTTGAAGAGCTTTCCTGGAGCATTTCAGTCCTTGGTAGTGCAAATGAAGCAAACAATCAACTATGGGTGGCAAGGCACTGTCAAAAGATCTCCAGGATAAAGATTTTGTCAATGCCTAGAAGCACAGTGAAGTCTATTATTATAATAATTCGTTTTGGTTAATCTAATGGGAAAATAGTTTTGGCTGAGGGCAAAATCTCATCACATTATATTTTATGTAACTTCAATGCTGTATATCAGATCGCTGCCTTTGTACTTTTGACTGAATTGCCTAGCAACTTTTATGAGGGCTGTTGTTGTTTATTTAATATTATTATTCAATAAATAATGTTTTATATAAATAATAGTAGTAATTTAATAATAGTATTTAGTATTTGGAAACAGTGTCTGTGTTCGTGATGGTGATGATGATTAGTTACATTGTTTTTATAAATGAGACAGTAGTAAAGACTTTTATATTGAAAGAGACTGAAACAAGGTTCTAAACAATGACAACAGCCAACAAATACACTGAGCAAGGCTGTCATTGGAACGATAGTACGACAAATATATCACAGTGGACATTCAAACTCGAGCTGAAGAATGAATGCGGTATCAGATGCGGGTAATCACACATAATACAGTGAGCTTTTAATACAGTAATACAATAAGTTTTCAATGAAGCAACTCAACGTTCCTTCATTACTAGTTCTAAAGTGACGTTTTCGAATTAGTAACGGAGGCTTGGGCTCAGCTGTTAAACTGTCAAACTGAGATTTGAATCTGTGGCGGAAGGAAGTAGTTCCGCACAAAAGAGGATTTTTAAAGACTCTCCATTGTTGTTTCTTATGTATTTACACACTCGTGACATTGAACTGTTGTATAAACGCAATATCACATTCATATCCATGAGTTATGGGTGTATATCGGTATGCTGTGATTACCTATGTCCGAATCACAGCCGTGCAGATACACAGCCATATCGCACTGCTACTCGTGTGATATTGCTCATATATATGACAGCTTGTTTCCCTTATATTTTTATGCCGTGTATACAGGTTGAATGTTGACTGTAAGCTTATGGTCAGCATTGTACGTACTTTAGTAATGAATTCAAAGAGAGAAAGAGAGATAGAAAACACACACATGAATTAGTATGAGAATGGTGTTGCTGTTGCCACTGTGTAGACTAATCAAATAAATATATTGAGGCCGGCTCTAGCAAAGTTGGTGGTCCTGTTTAAATATTCATGTGCTCTTAAAAAATATGGCACCCGCTGTTGCTCTCTCTTTTCTTTTCTTTTCTTTTCTTTTCTTTTTGTCTTATTTGAAAATATCCTTTAGTTTGAATTATTTAACATTATTTGTCTAGTAAATTGATTTTTAACACAGCTTTTTACAGTATCCAAGAAGCAAAGTCCCGGAAAACAAAACTAAACTCGTTTTGTCTGATAGTGGTTTCTATTGACTGGATGGTACAAAAAGTACAAACAACAAATCTTTCACCTCTCGACGTTC